TGATGAGTTTTTGATGGGCTACTAGTTCATGACTGAGCACCTGCTACCTGTTACACTTGATCGAGGGAATTCTCTCTGAGGGCAGTATCTGCAAAATAAAGCCTGCAATGATGCTTGAACAGGCAAGAGCTTCTATAGGAACTCGTCGCCAAAGGACTCGTTGGTGAAGAAAGAATGTAAAAGCGAATGCCAATTAGAGGCACTCCTATCAGTTCTCTTTAGTCTCAAGTTATTGACAAGTGCGAAGCGAAATCCTCATGTCGGAGAAAAATCCAGTCAGCTGATAAGTTGTAATGAATCCTATGGTCCCGCAACTGTTTTTGAGTCGGAACTCGGGTCAGGGTTTGGTACGTCCCTCATTTTGATACTTAAGTTTAGTTTTATGCCGAAATTGGCAACAGGCAGCGGCGCTTTGCCAGATGTCCGTGACTCTCGCCTCTACCATCATTGAAGCAGGGTTCCCTTATTATCAAATAATTCTCCGTGTGAGATAGCACTGTCGATATTTCTAGTCAGACTGCGAACACTGTCGACTGAGGATGAGCTTTTTTCGAAAAATTCCTATGAAAGAAAGGAGGATTGGTGTCTGCCTAGAATAATCCCAACCAACAACTTTCTGCATTTTTTCTCTCAATGCTACCTAATGGTATCCATTATGAAGTGGCAGTTTTGCATGTGATACCTACGGCGACGTAAATTCTGCCTCCAGCTAATTTGCTAATAATCAGGATTTTGGGGCACCATGGATCGATCAACCAGGAAATGGACCGCCTATTTTTGTGGGAACGCTGGAAATCCCATCTTTCTCCCTCTTCAAGGCAATTTCTGAATAGGGTTGTTCTTTGTACGGTATTCTGCACAGTTCTTATGTACCGCGAGAGATTCAGCGACGCACTCAAGATGGCAACGCTAGGATGCTTTGTGTTGGACGAACTCGCGCCATACTGAGGGGCTCGCACCAAGAGTTCCACCCTATCTTGTGAGAAATCCTGTATACTCGATCAATGCGTGGCAAATGACGTGAAAGTGGTCGAGAGCTTTCTTCAAACGTCGAAACTTCGAATTTCAGCTCCCACAGTTTGGTACACCCTGTATCTTTAGAATATTTTTGGACGACTTCAACTTGCTTGAATTCTTCGCGATTTCGCTATTTCTGGCCAGTAAATTTTCATCTTTTGTGCTGAAAGTACAATTCCGTGCTGACTACAGTATAGCTTACATGAGGGAAGAATCTTTCTTTGCCTTTTGAATTTTTCGTGGTCTTCTAAAGATAGTTATTAAGGTTCCTACCGGTCGAAGTTTTACTGAAGATGGCACGAGCTACTCCTGCAAAGACGATGGTAACGGACACTATTCATTGAGCTGGGGCTAATCCTGGTAATTAGTGGATCTGTTCAAAGAATAAAGTGATTTGGCATTTGGCACACAGTGTAAATAGCAATAAGCTTTGGCGGAGGAATTCAGTCACTGCTCTGGTGCTTCCCTTGGCGACTTACTCTGTAATTGTACGGATCTCCAGAGAAAAAATTCTTAAAGATGTCAGGATGTCTTTCTTTAACCTCTGACAGAGCGAGTGCTGCCATTCGAATAGCATTAGAAGAGCGTGGTTGCATGACGACCTTCAGTTAGTGAATATTCCTAACGGAAGCATAAAAGAGAACTGCTCGGATTCGGCTCAATGATAGGCAGTGCATGCCATGAGGCTGTCTTATTCGCCCTCATGGTAGGAACGGAAACTTTGCTAATCAGGACGCAATTTATCTGATCGAATGTCTATGCAACCTTTACTGGGGGAACCGGAAAGGTTCTGGCGGTCCGCATCGAGGAATATCGGTCAGCATGATACGCAAATCTTGTTCGACAGCTCTTGGGAGGCACAAGCTGGGGGAAAATAACGGCCTTGGTTTCGAAATACGTGCACAGTATTGGCGCATGAGACGCGATTCCTGCGATATCAGCTCTAGAAGCGTAATAGTTTTCTGCGCGTACAACTGGAATGAGCGTCCTCAATCGTGAACTCTTGCCGATCATACTTCACTGCGAGCTGTGGAACATCCAGAGAGTTTTACGTGCGTCTCCCACATTTTGCAAATATCAGGAGACAGTGCAGTATGCATTACTTGTCATCTCAAATATAGTGGATTTTTCCGTTGTGGAGGTGGAACCCTGGGTTTGTTGCCTGGACTGCTTGTATTTCTCTTCCCCAACGTTTTTCTTCGTGACCGCTAAAGAAAATGAAACGTTTGTTGGTGCTGAGCATAGATCTGAAATTCAAACCACTTTCCGACCACTGAAGACGAGGATACGGCATGCACTCAACTTCCATTCAGAATGGTACTGCCTTATTGAATGCGATGTGGCTACCAATTCACCGTCCCCAGAGGGCAGAAGGCTTCTTTGGTCTGCACGGGAGCCAATCCGGGAACCTACGACCGTGCGTTAAAGCCACGACCGTGCGGCTACTCTTCACTACACCACCTCTGCCTCTAGGGTTCTGACAAGTAGAGGTGATTTCGTTTCGGCTCCTCAATGTGGAATCTACGCATTTCCTGGGGCACCACCCACCTATATATGTTTTGCTTCGTCTTGTTTGTTTTGATTTGTTCTCTTTTGTTTGTTTGTCTGTCCGGAAATTCGGTTCTACCAGAAGAACAACTTGGAGAGGTGGGGATCAAGGTCGGGATGGGTAGGGCATGTGACAAGATGTAAAGAGCAACA